CTTCCTCAGTGAGTCCTAGGTCTGCCAGGCTCCACAGTGCTGGGCTCCAGGGCACTCCTGGGCTGGCTCCCCGCTCTGTGGGCCCTGACTGCTGGATAGCTCCTCCCTGTGAGGCCCTGCCAGACACAGTGGGGCACTCTACACCAGGCACATGTGTGCATGTGCCCCAAATCCCAAGAGATGGAGGAGGACTGCAGCGTGGCCACTGCCCCGGTGAGTGATTTCTTGCTGTCTGTCTCTGGTGAGCGCACAAACCCTAAAGCAAAAATCTCTCTAAGAAACCCCAAATAATAAAAACAATAATAAAATTAAAAGAAACAGTGGAGTGCTTCATGCGTAGTGCACCTACAGTTCCCAGAAGTCACAGCTCAGCCTGGGATGGGGCCTGGCATGAAAGCCCCAGGGAGTGAGTGATGACTGGAGGGTGCTAGCAAAACCAACCACAGCCCAGCCACAGTGCTGGCAGACAGCAGGCTGCCACTGAGCAACACTGGCCCACAAGAGGCCCTGGGCTTGACTCCAGGTTGGTGCACCACAACCCTGGCTGGCTGGAAGGCAAGGGAGAAACAGCGTGCAAAGACTGCTGGGAGAGCCCGCTTCCCTCCCTGTCTCGAGAGAAAGAGAGAAAGGAAAGAAGCTTAAAACAAAAACCCAAGGAAGAGTCCAGCTCTCAGACACCGAAGAAGCCCTAGCCATCTGCAGCCCAAGATTTTAGGGTCCTGCAGGTGGGCACCTGCTCCCGGCAGACAAGTCAGGAACCAGGAGCAGAACGTGAGCAAGAAGGTAGCCCCATCCCTGCAGTGGGCTGCTGTGCCGACATGCACCCAGAGGGCACTGTCCCCTTTAGACACCCTGAGTGCCCCAATCAGACACGACCCCCAGGTCCCTGCCGGAGCTCTGACACCCCTCCTCTCACCACACAGACAGCTGAGCGCATTTGTGAGCACTCTGCTTCTCAACGCACTCCTACTGTCGCACCCGGGGAGCTCCCAAGCACCCAGGGCAGGAAAGACCCCTCGCCATCGCACCTCACACGAGACAGCCTCCTGAGCTTGAGGACCTGCTGCCCATGCAGCCAGGCTCAGGCCTGACGCCAGCTCCCCCGGCCCCTGACACCATCTGCATGCCACGTTTAACTGGGGGGTGGCAGGCTACACCCTACCTGTGAGCCTCTGAGTGGCCACCTGCCTGGCCGGGGAGCCCAAAGAGCCTGGTCCCCAGGACTGAGCCCTGAAACACACGGACCATGAGGACCCGTTCTTGTGCTTTTTCCTGTCATCTCAGCCTGGGATCAGCGGTCTCGACTTCTCATTTTAGTTTTTTCAAACAACTGCCAGAGTGTGCGTGTCCCCCAAAGGGAGGAGGAAGCACCCACGCCCACAATGGGGACAGTCACGCTGCAATCCCTCTGCCTTCATTTCCATCCTGTCAGGGTTCTGGGACTGTGCAGACGCAAATGCTGTGTTTTTCCAGTCACAGGGCTGGGATCCGAACTGTGGTCGGCCACGTGGGATCCAGCTTCCTTCACCGCTAAACCATGGAGCTGGCTGGAGTGACTAACAGTAAAGATGACAGCCACACACACTGTCACTGCCAGACTCAAGGCAGGGCCAGGGCCAATCTGGATGCAGAGTCAGACTGCTCTGCATCTGGCAAGGGGAGCCCCCTTGTGCTGGCCCAGAGGGCGGTGAGTGACCTGGAGCTGAAGCGAGCCCCCAGCACTGCTGTGTCTCAGCCCAGGCCTGCCTCAGCTGCCTCTGAAGACCAGCAACAAGGCTGGGAGGAGAAACTGGCAGTGGGGAGGGCCACGACTGCCGTGCCTAATGCCCAGCGCCAGGCTTCGCACACCCTCTGGCTCTGGTAATGCAGGAGGGGTAGGAGACGGGCAGCCTCAGGGCAAACGCTGAGAGCCACAGGAGCCGGCCCAGAACTGCAGGCCTCTGGACAAGGTGCCGGGAGGGGGGCTGCAAGGAGAAGCCTGCCTCGTCTCAGGAGGGAGGGAGGCCGGCCTCCAGAGGAGCGGCTGGGCAGCCCGAGTGTAGAGCAGTCCCACAGGGAGCACAGCGGGCTCCCTCTCGGAGGGAAAGGAGAGGCAGAGCCGGTCCTTACGCCGTGTCTCTGACGTCTCTCGGGACCCGAGAGTTCCAGTCTCGGAAAACGTCATTCTCTTTGTCAAGCTCGCGCTCGTCTTCGCCGATGGTCACCGTGAACCTCTTCTCTTCGAAGTCGGGCTCCTGCTCTTTCCGAATGGTTGCCTTTTTTAAAACCTACCATGGAGAGGAGAGAGGAGTCAACATGGTGTCAGACCTGAGACCCCAACTCCAGGGGCAGAGCCCAGGCTGTCCTGGAGGCCTGGTGAGGAGCGCCGTCCGGTCTCTGCCCTCTGGGCTGCCAGGTGGCTGTCCTGGGAATGGCCTTGGGGCGGAGCTCCTGTAGGCCTCCCAGATGCAGCCAACCCTGCCTGTCACGTGCAGCGGGCTGGGGGAGCACAGGCTGCTGGCTGTCAGTCACCCCCTGAAGAGAGCGGGACTTGGGGCCGGGCCAGCAAGGCCGGCTGCTGGCAGGCTCTGGTCTGGGGTCCTGGATCCCAGCTGCTGCAGGCTCTGAGCCTCCACGCTGCCAGCCTCTGAGCTGTCCCAAGCCTTGCCAGCTGTGGGCCCCAGCACTCCTTCCTGCGGGCAGAAAGCTTCTGCAGACGGGGGCCGGGCTGACAGGACCGACTCCTGAAACGCACAGGCACACACACACGCCTGCTCTGTGCAGAGAGCGCGCCGGGCTGGGGGAGGCGCCACGTCTCGGCAGGGACCGCAGCAGCAGGAGTGACCGTGTGGCCCAGCCCCATCGAGACAGTGGGCCTGGTCCACACGGGGCCTTGGTGCCCTCCCAGGGCTTGTCTACGCCCTGGCCCGGCCTGCCTCAGAGCGTCAGCCATCGTTTCCCGTCTGCAACTCACAGAGCACCGCGACCTGAAGGCTCTATGGAGCTCCCTGCTCCTGTCTCTGGGTCAGAGAAATGCTGGTTCCGACCAGGACCCCACCAGGGCGTTACTCCCCGGTTCCTGCAGGGCCCGTTACCTCCTTTGCGTGCCGGAGTCCCCGTTCCCAAGCACTCTCTGTCGGGGGTTCGGGAGGGGGTGGAGGCAGAATCTCATCAACCACTGGCCCACCCTATTAAAAATGAGAAGGAAACGTTGAGAAAGCAAGTGAAACCTCCAAGCTAGAACGACATAGGACAGTGTCTGAGACCCCTGCTGGCCAGCCTGGCCGCTCCCCCGCAGGGGCTGCCACAGGGCACACCCAGCGTCTCGGGGCAGGGCACTGTGCTGGTGGCCCTGGCTCTCCTGGGCACGAAGGCCTGTTCCAGGAGACACGGCGCCTGCCTCCCGCGTGTCCCAGAGCCCAGCCGTGCAACCCGGACGAGCAGAGGCCATCACGCACCCAGGGGCTGGCAGGCATCAGCGGGTGAGGTCCGAGAGGCGGGGCGCCGTTGGGCGGGAAAGGGTCGGCTTTGGTGAGGAGGGAGTAGTTCCCCTTGTCGTTCACTCCAGGGTGGATAAACCTACAGTTCATTCCCCAGGTGCAGTTCCCTGAGAAAACAAAAGCCAGGTCAGAAAGGGCTTCCACGGGCTCAGCCACACGAGGGCAGCTGCGTGTGCCCGGGCCCCGGAGGCCCACACTGCGAGGCCGCGCCTTCATGAAGCCTTGGGAGGTCAGGTGTGGGGGGCTGGGGTCGGGGACCCCGCCACCTGGCAGCCCTGTACTCCCAGAAGACAGCACTGCTGAGAGGGACCCCCGGGCTAGAGACAGGTGACCCACAAAGCCACAGTGTCGAGTCCATCAGATCAACCCTCTGAATAGCCACCTCCCCTAGGAGAACGGCCGAGAGCTTACCAGGCCTGGGGCCTCCAGGCAGCTCTGGACTCTGAAAATACCCACAGTGCTCTGGGGTCACCAAGAAGCGTGAAAGTTGCCAGAATGTCTCAAGCCTGTCTCAGGGCAACCTTCCACCTCTGCACACCTGCGATTCTCAGCCAGAGCCCTGCCCACTGCTGTAGGAGTCTCAGGCACAGAGAACACAGAACACAGGCATGACCTGGAGGCACCACCAGCGAGGCGCTAACTGGGCACCCGATGCCGCCTGCAGATAACTGGGACTGTCATCAGCAACAGGACTGCCTGACTCTAGCACAGAATGTTGACACCAGAGTTTTAAATTAAAGTAGTGAATGGGGACCAGCAGTTGGCATAATGGCTACGTCACTGGACTCCCATGTAGTTGACTGTGGTTCGAGTCCCGGACCTGGTGGCTTAAACTCACACCAGGCGTGTGTGTGTGTGCATGCCCAGGGTCCCAAGAGGAGAATGGAGGAGAAGGGATTGCAGTGTGGCCATCCCCCCTGGGGGGTGATTTCTCACTTTCTGTCTCTCTGTCTCTGTCTGTCTGGCGAGTGCACACGCCCTATAGCAAAAACCTCAAAAAAAAAGAAAGAAAAAAATGTGATTTTCTGAATAGGTAAAGTGTACATATGGTTCAAACGGGAACACACCATAGCTAAGTAACTGAAAAACATGTCACCGTGTAGCTAGATTTTAAGTCATTTAAAATACACATTTGATCTTCTTTTTCTGAAAAACTGACTCTGTGAAGACTGCAGTTACACATTCAATCTTCATCTCGTTTGAGCATTTCTATTAACCAATCATGCTTTTCTTACATAATGAAAACCAAACAGAAATAATCACTTGGTATTTAGGAAAAAGCTACGTTTTACCCTAAAACATCGCAACGAGGCAAACTTGCACTCCCTGTGCTCAACACAGCACAGCAGTGCGTCCCCACGCTTCTCCGGGAGTACGAGCGCGACCGGGCAGCCAATCCCGAGCAGCTCAAGGCTGCGCACCGGAGGGGTCACCCATGCCCCGAGTGCACGGATACGCAGAGCAGACACCTCACGGCCGCAGGCTCGCTCCCGTGTCTCTGGCCCCCGACACACACACAGGGGGGGTGCCTGCCTGTTCTCTCAGTGATTACAGAATGGGCAGCAGCCGTGACCGAGAGCTGGTGTGGGAGGAGACACGGGCTCACAAGCCGTGACGCAAGGGCCACCAGGCGGGCGGGCGCTCCACCACTTCTGGAATCCCTAAGGGCTGCTTCTGAACTGGACGGCGGGGCCATCGGCAACCGCGGCAGCCCTGGCCCATGTGGACGCGTGTGTAAGCAGTGCCTGAGGGTTCGTGGCAGAGACCGACAGTACAGAGCACCTGCACACGTCCAGGCACCTGACGGAGCCGTCCCTGGCCTCCCTGGCGTATTACCACAGGGCGAACTTCCTCCCACCGGGCAGTAAGCCCACGGAAAGGACCTGCACGCCTGTGACAACAGCTCCCCCTGCTGGCGACCCAGACAGAGAACGTGCAGCGAGCCCCCACACGGACACGCAGGAGGCGTGGGCGTGCGCACCCGGTGGTCCGGGCACGAGTGTGTGAGCTCGTTGACGCACACGTCGGGCCCAGAACGGCCAGGCCTGAGTGGGAGCACCGCCCCGTTCAGGACGCAGCCTGCCAAAGCAGGGCACGATTTCCCAGCTCCCTCCGTCCCATGCTGTGGGCCTCCCCCGGGAGCTTCGGGGCGCTGTCTGACAATGTCCACCCAAACACGCCGCAGGTCCCTGGCCTGTTAGTGAGTAACTGAAGAGTAAGCAGGGACTGTGGAGAGTAAATGCAGACATTTAAAGTGCTTCGTGGTTCTTTAAGGTAAGACCTTCCTTCACAAAGGGAGACAGCATGAGCTGGTGAGGTCGTCAGGGCAGCCCTCGGACGACCCGAGAGCCCGGGCTCCTGGGAAGGTTCAGTTCTCGAGGGAGACCCCACGGAGCCCAAAACCCGAATCTCCGGCCGCCCCTGCCAAAGGCAGGCTTGGAGCGAGCGCCTCCGGCTTCCGGTCCCTGCACCCAGGAGGCTATGCACATGGGCCACCGCGGCCAGTGTTGACCGCGATAAGGAGAAGCGGAAAGACATCCCGCTAGCTTCCTTTAGAACAGAAAGACAAAGCAAAACGCGTGCGAACTGACGTTTCATTAAAGCATTTTAAACACACTGAAGAACACTAGTGTGGCCGGTCCCACAGCCTCGTGGTAAAGGGAGTCAGCCCACATGGCCAGCTGTGTTCAAGCGCGGCCTGGCGGCTTAAGGACCACTCGGGGCACATGCGTGTGTGTGTGTGTGCCCCACACCCTGACAGCAGAGAGAAGCAGGCAGGGCCTGGTGTGGCCACACTGGCCCTCCCTCTCCCCATCTCTCTACAGCACACCCCGACAGTCACGAACACCCGAGGGCAGTGTCACCTCCCTCATGAGACTCCAGCCCTGACGCCGGGGCCAGAGCAGCTGCGGCGCCTGCCTGTGCTGGTGCTGGGACGAGGGCGCAGTCGGGAGGGCGCGGATGCACAACGTCACCCGTCACCAGTCCCCCAGCCCCATCCCACCGGCACCCACTGGCGCCCTGAACTCTGGCCGGGTCTCTTCCCAGGCATGACTCTAAAACGCCACGTGGCGACCACTGTAAAAGCTCTGACACCCCGGGATGCTGGCGAGTCCGTGGCAGCAAACGGGGACTTTCGGCAAGCATGTCCTCACCTGAGCACCTGAGGGTCACCCTGCCAGCTCGCTCCTTGAAGAGCGGCAAGGCGTCCCCGCCGAGGCTCTGTGCACATCCCCACACCAGCCTGCCAGTGTTTCTCCAGTGTACCCCGATGTTCTGGGAGGGTATGACCGGCAGGCCTGCACAGGGGCCAGCTTCCCCGACTCCCCTGGGCGGGGCTCGCACACATGGCCACCTCATCTGCTGGGCACGGAAGACAGGCGCTGAGGGCTCCGGGCTGCTGGGGGCACACCGAGACGGCACTGCAGGGGCCGCGCAGCCTGCTCTGGAGACCCCAAACACTAAGAGCTGTGCACATAGCAGGAAGCTTGTGTCCTGAGGCTCACTCCGAAACGCGCTCTTTAGACAGCTGCACCCGAGTGTCGGACTGAGCTGGTGGTGAATCCTGAGGTGGGCATGGTTTACTGTAACTGCAGGGACAGCTGGGATCCGGGTCTCCAAAACGGCCTAGAGGACCCTTGGAGGTCCACAGACCACATCCAGAGACCCGTTGCTCCGAACGCAAGGGGACACAGGGACCCCCAAATGCAAGACGGCTTCTCCACGGAACACACGAGTGGCAGACAAGCACACAAGATGCTCGACGTGCTTGCTTACGAGTGAAATGTGATCACAGCAAGACGCACCTCACACCCGTGAGGACGGCCACTGTCAAGACAGAAGTCAGTAAGTGTCGGCGAGAATGCGGGGAAACGAGCATTCTTAGCAGGGACGTAGAATGAAGCGACTGCTATGAAACATTCTGTTTCCTTAAAAAATAAAAACAGGAACCAGCAGGTGGTGTGGTAGTTAAGGTGCTGGACTCCCACATGGCTGGCCACAGTCTGAGTCCGGACCTGGTGGCTTGATTTCTCATCTTCCTTCTCTCTCTCTCTGGTCAATTTCAAAAAATAAAATAAAATGACAATGAATAAAATTTTTTAAAAATTTAAAAAATATTTAAAAAATAAAAATAGGGGCAGGCTCTGTGGCCTAGTGGTTGAGGCAACTGGATCCCACGTGGCTAAACACACAGTTCAAGTCCCAGATTCAACAGCTTTACAACACGCCAGATGCATGTGCATGCGTCCCAAATTCCAACAGGATGGAGAAATGGAGTAGGGCGCCTGCCTGACCACACACACCCCTGGGGGTGCTTTGGCCCCCACCCTCCAGTGAAATTTTCCTTAATTGGAAACCGACCACGTGAGCATGCCCAGAGGGCTGCCAGGCATGCCACGAGGCAGCAGCCGCCTGAGCACCCACCTGTGGACGACCGACCGCGTACACGGACTGTGCCATCACGCGTGGAGTGGGAAGGGGATTCAGCCTTTGCAGCAGCACAGAAGAGCCTGGCGACGAGGCTGTGTGAAAAGAGGACAGGCGCCGCATGCTGCTGCTGAGAGAGGCCCTGGGGAGCGGGGTTCAGACCGAGAACAGTGGCTGCAGGGCGGGGCAGAGAAGGAGGCTGTCAATGGCTGCACAGCTGCCATTCTGCAGACTGGAAGGTCCTGCACGTAGGTGGTGGTGACGGCTACAGAGCGTAAGTGTTGCTGAGAACCCTGGACGGCACACTTGAAATTGTCAAGATGCTGGCACGGTGATTAAGGTGCCGACTCCTACAGAGCTGACTGCATTCTGATTGTTGGTCCCAAAGGCTTGAAAATCACACCGGGCATGTGTGCCCAGGGTCCCAGGAGGAGAGTGGAGAAGGGACTGCGGTACGGCCATCCCCCACTCATTCTCTCTCTCCCTGGCAAGCACATGTGCCCTATGGCAAAAGCTTTTTTTTTTTTTTTTTTTAAAAGTTAAGATAGTATATTTTATGTTATGCATATTTTTCAAAAGAATCACTTATTTACCTATTATTATTATTTTAAATTTAACCACAGAGAGAGAAAATGAGAATGCAAGTTGCTAGGTCCAGGACTCGAACCACAGTCTCCATGTGGGAGGTCCAGCGCCTTAACCACCATGTCACCTGCCGGCCCATATTACACCTATTTATAAACATTTTTTTTTTTTTTTGGAGAAGTTTCTTTTGCTATACGGTGCAAGCACTTGCCAGAAAGACAGAGAGACAGAAAACAAGAAGTCATCCCCCAGGAGGGATGGCCACACTGCAATCCCTTCTCCTCCATTCTCCCGGGATCTTGGGCACGCATGCACACATGCCCGGCATGAGTTTAAGCCACCAGGTCTGGGACTCGAAATGGGGTCGACTACATGGGAGTCTAGCGACACAGCCATTATGCTAACTGCTGGTCCCATGAACACAATATTTGAAAATGTGGAGCGAGAGATGGGGTGTAGCCTACAGACTGGTCCAGATGCTTGCTCACAGAGGAATGAGCAGCCCCACACAGACACAGCTGGAAGATGGCCCTCCGTTCTCTGTGGTTGGAGCTCTGCGTCTCGGTGTCCAGCGCAGACATGAGGGCTGAGGACACCAAGGCAGTGTCACAGCTGTGTTCCTGTACGCCCCACTGCCGATGGCCATGGACGTCAGCCTGCCCGATCCACAGCTCATGGCGCAGCAACGTACGTGTACAGCAGACCAGCTCCTCTCGAAGAGAACCCCGTATCAGGAAACACCCCGCATCAGGTTGCTAGCTCCGTGGCCTCACAGTTAAGGAAGCTGGATCCCACACGGCTCTCGGAATCCCGGCCTTTGTGGCTCGAAAACATGCTGGGGATGTGGGCGTATGCCCGAGACCCCGACAGAAGGGAGAAATGGCAGAGAAGGGGACGTGGCGCAGCCACGCCTCATGGGGGTGCTCTCTGGTCAAGGCACGAGTACACACAGCGCGAGTTAGCCCCGGGCACGCGGCATGTGCGCCCAGCCCACCATTCAGCTGCAGGGCTCCATTTCCAGCTGCCAGCTTCCACCGTGCCCAGCAACAGCTAAGCCACTTTCTGTTCTTGTGGGCCTGGCGGTCTGGATGTGCCTTATGGCAGAATTGTACTTATGGGGCCCGTTTTCTTCCTCTCGGCAAGACGTATCTGAGGCCCGCCGTGCCGCAGTCCTGCCCGCGACATCTTGCCTTCTGTGGCCTCCAACACTGCACTGCACAGACAGACTGCACTCTGACCCTCCATCCTCCCTCTCTGTGATCACACTCTATGGACAGCCGCGTGCAACTTCCTCCTGGACTGAGAGCCAGGAATGGCTCTGCGGGCGGTGCAGAAACTGCTCTCGCCTGGAGAGCAGCCGGGATGCCCCGCAGTGACGCCACGCAGGATCCCACCAGGAGGCTGAGGTTCCAGTGCACCCTCTTCCTCACGGGCAAGATTAACTTTGCTTCGCTTCTAAAGTAACGTCTTGAGCCAGCCTGTGGCCTGAAGGTGAAGTGGGTGGACCCCACATGGCTAACAGTGTGGTCTGAGTCCCAGGCTTGGTGGTGTGAAAAATGCATGGGCACATGTGCACGCGTGCCCCAAATCCCGAAAGGACAGAGAAATGGAGAAGGGACTGCAGGGTGACGTGCCTTGGGGGGTGCTTTCTTACCCCCCCCCGAATTCCTGTCTCCCTCTAGGGAACACGCACACCCTTGCAAATTAAAAACAAAACAGGAACTTCTCTTGTCACTGGAAGGCTCTTAAACTGAGTCACTGCAAACCAAGCTCGTGAACTGAGGCAGTTTCTCTGGACTTAGAAAAAGCAAGAGACACGTTCTAGAGAATGGGAATGACCAACCACTCCACCCACACTGCCATGTCACTGTGGCATAAGCCCTGTCCAGGAGAGGCGACCACTTAAAAAACACCCAACACAGCACCTGTGCCCTGAGTCATACCACAGGCCGCCGGCCCTGGCTCTCTGGGACTCAGCGGCAGGAACCCTCCCCAACATGGGCTCGCTCCCTGAGTGCAGCACCACGTCCCATTCTGAGCAGCCCACGGAGACCCCTGCAGTCATCCCCCACAAGAACGTGCCGCCGCACTGCTGAGCTCCCTGCGTGTGTTAAACTCTGGGAGCCGGGGGTGGGGGGCAGTGTGAGCCCCAGCTTCGAGTCCGGGGCACCCCCACTTCGGGATGGTGGAAGCAGCTGCCTCCTGCATGGAAACCATCAGGCTGGCCCTTCCAGGGGCCAGGCTTCAGAACCACACGGCTGCCCAGATCCGGGCACGGCACGGGGCGGCTCCAGGGTGCTGGTCTGAAACAGCAACAAACACGCACGCCACGTGTGCACGGACCCCTTGCGTGCTTCAGCCCTCAAATCCGGGAGACGCTCAACGTCGCTTACCCCCATCTGCGTGGAAAAAGGTCTTCCGTGTGCATCGAGTTCCCTGCAATACTGACATGCCCTAACCCAAGCTCTTTGAGAACTGCAGCAGCGTCCTTCCTACAAAGCGCTGCGTCTCTCTGCACTCCCGGGGAGCTATGGTGACGGGCACGTGACACGCAGCTGTCAGTTGCTGTGGCTGTGCAGTGGAGGTCTGTAACACCCCCCAGTAACTCGGGGTGAGTCGTCTGCTTTCTCCTGGCAAAACCCAACAGCTTGAGACAGCATAGGTCTTGGGGTGTGCCCAGAGCAGTGAGCCTGGCCAGGGCCCCGCCAGCCCCCCATGACGGGCATCTGGCACGAGGGACAGGGTCGCACTCGGCCACTCATGCTCAGAGCCTGGCTTTTGCACAAGGCCCACCGTGCCCGGCGCCCCTGCCCTCTCCCAGCACCGCGGCAGCCGCGGCCCGTGCCTGGTGACTGGTGCTGGCGCCCGAGGAGAAAGGCTCACCACGGCTCTCCCTCAAGGCCCCCTTCCTTCTGGCTTCACAGCCGTGTTCTGGGTCCAGGAGGAGGATTTCTGGCTCTGGAGCAGGGGACGTCAAGGTACTAGAGAGTGAACAGAGCACATCTGGTACCTTTAACCTGGCCTCTGAGTGGGGCGGGGTGTGGCATTGTTGGAAGAGTGGGCAGTGGAGTCACCACATCTGTAAGAGAAGTACAGGGAGCGCGTGTGAACGTCGGCCGCACGTGCAGCTGCGCCGTCACACCACCTCGGCTCAGAGCACCATCAGAGGGACACCGTCGCTGGCCCGGGCCGGTGCTGAGCTCCAGGACGGGCACCACACCACTGCTCCTCAAGAGGCCCTCGCCGACTGGGGTCCCCACCACCGCGTCCAGCCTCCCGAGGTGCAAAGAAGCCAGACACAAGTCACTGGGTGCTGGGGTGACGCCGCGTCTGAAATGTGGTGGGCCCACGCATTTTAGAACTTTCTACCAAGCTGCTCCTCTGCAGCACCGAACACCATTGGTGTGACAGGACAGACCCACTTGGCTGCTCCCAGAAGCCTCCCCTGGCCACTCCCCAACCCACTGCAGGGGAAGGACACCCTCTGGGACGCCTCAAAGCAAAGTGCCACGTCCTGACAGGTCAGAAAATGTAGACACAGGGGCTGGAACATTCGGCCTTCTGAGAGGCGAGGACCACGAGTGTCCAGGTTACTGGCTGCTGTACGGGTGGGCTGGGCCAGTAGCAGAGCGCTGTGGCCGGTTCCCCTGCACCGCCGTCACCGAAGCGCCAAGGGCCTTTCGCGAGGTCTAGGCCTACTGTGCATCCCATCACCCGCCGCTATGGACCGCCCAGTCTGGCCCTGGGACAGCCCACAGGATTTTGAGCCCTGACGAGACACCCCAGGAGAGACCAGGGCCCAGCGGGGCCGCGCCAAGGCCCCTCTCACAGACAGTTACCTTTCATGAAGAATCGGCAGGTGGGGCGAGGCCTCACCTTCCTGTCACTGGGGTCCTTCACCTCGCCTTCTTCCAGGTCGTCATCCTGGAACAGAGGACAGTCATCTCAGCGAGGCACCCAGCTCACCATGCTGGGAAGGACAGGAAGCGGGGCCTGGCCAGCCTCTCCCCGGCTCCCGCCCTTTGCTGGCCTCCCTGCCCACAAGCGCTCAGAACACCCACACATGGGGCGGTGCAGGTGCACACACTGTCCTGCACACGGGCTCTCCGCGTCTCTCACTCCTCTGATCGAGGCGGCTTTCACTACTCTGAACGTCTCAGTACATTTATGGAGCAGAATTTTTTTTAAAGGTATAGTTTTATTTATTATTGTTACTTTAAATTTGCTATAGGGTATGTGTGCTCCCCAGAGAGTCAGAGAGAGAGGGGGAAAGCAAGAAAGTAAGTCGCTAGGTCCGGGACTCAACCAGTGCCTTAACCACGCCACTGCTGGCCCCAGGAACAGAATATTTCATGTCCCTTCAAACTAAACACTGGGGGAACCAGCAGTTAGCGTAATGGCTATGTTGCTGGACTCCCATGTAGTTGACCACGGTTCGAGTCCTGGACCCGGTGGCTTAAAACTCATGCCGGGCGCGTGTGCGTACATGCCCAAGATCGCATGGCCATCTCCCCGGGAGGTGACTTCTCGCTTTCTGTCTCTCTCTGTCTTTCTGGTGAGTGCACATGCCCTATAGCAAAAACCTCTCGGGAAAAAAAAAAAAAAAAAAACCTAAACACGGGCTGGCAGGTGGCATGCTGATTAAGGGTGCTGGACTCCCACATGGCCAACCATGGTTCGAGTCCTGGGCCTGGTGGCTTGCTTCTTCCTTTCTTGCTCTCTCTCTCTCTTACTCCGTCCCTCTTTAGTCAAATTAAAATAAATAGAGTTGAATAATTACTAAAACCCCCAAAAAACAACAACAACAAAACCCCTAAACATTAATGGGGCTAGCAGATGTAGTAGTGGTTCCATCACTGGACTCCCACATGGCTGACCATGGTTTGAGTTCCAGACCTAGTGGCTTGAAACTCATACCGGGTGTGTCCATGATCCCAGGAGGAGAACGAAGAAAGGATTGAGGCACAGCCACCCCCCAGGGGATGATTTCTCAGTTTCCCTTTTTTTCCGGAGAGGTTTTTGCTACAGGGCACATGTGGTTAACAGAAAGAGAGACAGAGAGACAGAAAGTGAGAAATCACCCCCCTCCCCGGGGGGGGGCCACACTGCAATCCCTTCTCTTCCATTCTCCTCTGGGGATTTTGGGCACGCACGCACACATGCCCGGCGAGAGTTTAAGCCACCGGGTCTGAGACTCAAACTGCGATCGACTACATGGGAGTCCAGTGACATAGCCATTATGCCAACTGCTGGTCCCCCCTCTCTTTTATTTAAATAGAGATTTTAGTTATAGGGACATGTGCTTGCTAGAGAGAAAGAGACAAAGAGACAGAAAGCAAGAAATCACTTTTACCTAAGGCAAAACCTCAAAACGCCCTCCTCCACTGAAGACTAACTCCTGCCAGTTTTGGGGTGGGGTATGTAGGGCTCAGGGCATTGATGCCGCTGGGTGGTAACGTGGCCCCTCGCAGCCCGTGCTTGGTCTGGAGTATCTAGCCCTGGCCGTCCTTTTTTGTTTTCTTTATGTGCTTGCTTTAACTGCCAAAGGGTATGAGAGCCCACCAGAGACAGCGAGAAAGCCTCAGTGGCCCTGTCCTGCTGCGGTCCCTTCTTCATCTTTCCCTCCTTCTGGGATGTGGGGCATGCATACACGCACACCGGTGTGTTTTCCAAGCCACTGGGGTTGCACTCACACTGTGGTTGGACATGTAGGACCTGGCTCCCTAATCACTGGGCGATGGGGCTGGCCCACTGCAGCTCCATTTTGCAGCGACCGGGGAGCCTTACAGAAACTGAAACCTGAGTCTCATGCCCTGGACTTTACTGCTCTGGACGTTCTGCAGACCGTCTGCCACCTAGGGCCTGTCCCCAAGACTTTCACAGGCGACAACCCACCCCTCGTCCACACGGGCTCCTCCAGACTGCTCCTGCACATCCCAGTAGGCACGTCCAAGGTGAAGGACTCACCGCCCCAACCCTAGCCTCTTCCAGCACACCCTGGAGCATCGATCCCAGCTGGTCCTACAGGGCCACGGTCCAGCCACCCCGACCTCTCTGCCCATCTCCTGCAACACTTCTTCGTTCGGCCCACTGCTCCGTATCGCCTGGTCCCACCTGGGCCCCTCACGTGCTCTCCTAACACTCCAACCTGTGCTCCATGGTGCAAATGCCCTTTCCAGTTCCAAGACGTGTCCCTCCCTCCCCTCTGCTCTCGCGAGGCGACTCAGATGGGGGCCCCGGTCCCCTCCCCGAGCTCTCGCCAGATATACCCTCTATAGGTGCTGCGCCTGCGTGGACACCTGGACGCTCCAGTCCTCAAGACTGCCACCTGCCCTGCTGCCCGACAGGAAGTGCCCAGGGGCTTTTGTTTTCTGTATCTTTTAATCGCCAGAGGGTGCATATGCTTGAGGGGGGGGGCAGACTGACCCTAACTGTGGCTTAGTCAGGCTGCAATCCCTTCTTTCCATTCCTTTTTTTATGAGAGATTTTTGCTATAGGGCACATGTGCTCACCAGAGAGACAGAAAGTGAGAAACCACACCCCAGGGGGGATGGCCACGCAGGAATCCCTTCTCTCTTCTGCTCTTGGTGTATCGGGCACGCACGCACATATGCCCAGCGTGAGTTTTATGCTGCTGGCCTGAGGCTCAGCCACATGGGAGTCCAGCACCTTAACCACTAGGCCACCTGCCGGACCCACCTTCTCCTCCATTTTTGTACCCCATCAGGGTTCTGTGCACGCACACCCCCACACATGGCATGTGCTTCAAGCTGCCCGGGCTGGACCTTGAACTGCGTTTGGCCATGTGGGATCCCGCCCTCTCTACAAGATGCCTAACCACTGCTCTATAGGGCAGGACTTCGATAATTATTTGTTAAATAAAGAAATTCTGAAATGTTTGAAATCAAACTGTGAATTTAGAATGACTTTAGCTTTTAGAGCTTAAAATCTTATGTGGTTTCTGTTTTGAATGGAGGAGAAGGGATTGCAATGTGGCCATCCCCCTGGGGGGTGATTTCTCACTTTCCATCTCTCTGTCTGTCTTTCTGGTGAGCATACATGCCCTTATAGCAAAAATCCCCCCCCAACAAAAACAAAAACGAAAACAAAAACTTGGTCATTAAAAGTACCTTACAATGATGCCAGGAGTTGGTCAGGTGCTGGACTCCCACAGTTTTTTTTTTTTTTTTTTTTTGAGAGATTTTCGCTATAGGGCGCGTGCGCTCGCCAGACAGACAGAGAGACATTAGAGGCAGAAAGCGAGAAATCACCCCCCAGGGGGGATGGTCACGCCGCAATCCCTTCTCCTCCATTCTCCTCTCAGGATCTTGGGCACGCACGCACACGCGCCCGATGTGAGTCCCAAGCCACCAGGTCCAGGAGGCGAACCACGGTCGACCACGTGGGACTCCAGCGACATAGCCATTACGCTAACTGCTGGTTCCCTGGACTCCCACAGTTGACTGTGGTTCCAGTTCTGGATCCGGTGGCTTGAAACTCACACTGAGTGTATGTTTGTGCATGCCTAGAATCCCCAGAAGAGAACGGAGAAGAAGGAATTGTGGGGTGGCCCTCCTCTATGGGGGATGATTTCTTGCTTCTATCTCTTTCTCTGTCTCCCTGGCAAATGCATATGCCCTACAGCAAAAATCTCTCCTCCTTCTCCTCCCCAAAAAAGTACCTTCTAATAGGGGCCAGCAGGTGGCGTGGGGTAGGCCCTAGACCCCACGTGGCAGCTGCAGTTTGCTTTCTTACTCCTCCTCTGCGCACCCCCCCCCACCCCACCCCACCCCGGTCTGGTGAATTAAAAAGAGAATAATAAATAAAGTTAAATAAATAATAAATTTTTAAAGTACCTAGTAAAAAGAACAGACTCTGAGAGTCCTACCCCTCGAAGGCCACGTCCTAAGACGCAGACAGACAATGCGCTCACGGGTGCTGCGTGACCGCGGGCTCTACTCGCCCAACCCTCGGGTCTGTCCCCTCCCTTTATCACTCTCACAGCGACGGTGACCAAACCCACACTGTCATGTGCTTTCTTACGTCACCTTAAACCTAAGCTGGAGAGATACTCGATCCCCGTGAGGAAAGCAAAACTCACTGTGAAGTTCAAACATGCTCACAACTTCCCGCTCGCTCAGAAGGGAACGCCAAGTGCCACCACGCGTGTGAAGCCAGCGCTTCGGGGGAGCTAGGACTAGGCACGGAGCAGATCGACAAAGATGCTGCTACCACAGCCCTAGGAGCATGCCACCTCGAGGCTGGCAGGTCGCCGTGGAAGCCGGAAGCCGTCCGAGGGAGCCAAAAGGCAATAGGAACAGCCAGTGGGCAGACGAGACGAGGGCCAGTGTGCTCGAGGCCACCGTAGCCCCGAGGCCCAGCAATGGCTGTGTGGATGCGAAAGGCCAGGCCCACCCTGCAAGGACAGGCTGTACACACATGCACCTCGCAGAGGGACTAAGCTTGAGTGACCTGGACCAAGAGCATGGCAGTGGACAAGAGGGCCTGGTGGACTAACCACCTGCAGACTGCAGGCCTTAAAAGAGGGGGGTGCAGGCCAGCGAGTGGCATGGGGTGAAGGCACTAGGTACCAGCAGGGCCGGGGGCCTGAAAAACTCACCAGGCACGTGTACGCGCTTGCCCAGAGTCCTGACTGTGGTGTGGCCATTCCCGGGGGGATTTCTCACTTCCCCTGTCTGGCGAGCACACACACTCTACAGAAAACTAAAACAACCAGGGAGAGTGCCTAGGGAGGTCTCAGCAAATGTCGCTCGGGCTGAGCCAAGGCCAGTCTGACACCGAGCATCGACGAGCACGCACGGCCGCAGGTGCTTCCGCAGGACGGGGACCTCCACGTGGGCGAGGGGAGCAGGC